TGAGGTTAGAGATAAAGATTTATTTTCATATTTGTACAGTGATCGGCTTCAGAGTGACGATTTTTGTGGGCTTTTATTGTATGTGTGTGTAAGAAATTTCATATGTATATATTAAGTAGGCCTCTGAGTATCAAATAATTGTTTTATGATTTTGATTTATATGGTTTACATTTTCATAGTTTGGGCAATATTTCGTTTATGCTGTTTACTTCTCTTCAAACCATTAATAATTATACCACAAAGTGTAATTTTATAGCAACGCAAATGTCTGAGGAACTACAAATATTTTCTACATTGTAAATTCAATAAAGCTTGTTTCCTTTGGCCTTTGGGGTGTTTCCTTCAGCTTTACTGCAGATGTCCCCGAAGTCATTTAAATTCTAGGATGTGTCTGCATGAAACCCTACCTTTAAAAGAGCTGCCTTTTCTGGCTGTGGTAAGTTGGCAGGTAGGGGAAAGGAACCTGTGGTGCTCTGCTCAGTGACCACCAGCAGAACACGTGGCCGAGCTCTGGGCACGCCAACCAGGAATAGCAAGGCTTTGCAGAAAGTTCGGATTTGCTCTGCCCATCCTCATGACCTCTGTGGGCTTAGTGCCTTTCTCCAACACTCACCGCACACTGGCGCACTAACTTATCTGGGAATTTTCCCTAAACTCCTAAATTATGAGTGGATTGCCTGCTCTCCCTTCAGTAGCTCCTCTGAAATCTATCGTGTCCTTGTGGCTCTCACACTTATTTAATTAAACACACAAGCCTCCCATGTCCTTAGCCACTTACCTAGTGCTACCTCCCATTCATTGTGCACACTTCTTGGTACTTCACTAGTACTGAGAGTTGAATGGGCCATTAAGGAATGAACTGGTTAAATAAGGCAGGCCTTGCAGAGTTTCTGCACACACAGAAACATGCACAGTCATGGTCAGTATAAACAAAGCAACACATTTCAGTTGTTGCAGGGTAACTCTGTAGCCAGCCTGCCTGGGTTTGATCTGTCCTCCAACCTACTAGTAGGGTGACTGAGCAAGGGAGTAAGCCTCCATGAAATCCCGCTTCCTCGTTTGTGCAATAGGGACGTAAGAGTACCTTTCTCATGGAGGTGTAAGGACTCAATGACTTAATGTATGTAGAGGACTTGGAAGAGTGCCTGGCATTTGGATCATTTTCAGTGGGAAGTTTTCTGGGACCAGATGGTTGCACAGCAGTAAAACACGCTCAAAGGTTGGCCCACATGGGAAGGTTTTAGGTTCACATTCAGAGACCTCTGAATACACCAGGCACATAAGTACCCAAGACCTGGGGCTATGGTGGGGGAGAGATTGTGGGTGTGAAGACTCTGCTGTCTCTGTCTCATGCATGCTGTTGATATTTTCGAAAAAGTTTTGAAGCACCATTGTTTGCATTGGTCTTGTTCAGGATTCTGGCTCCTGCCATTAATGAGTAACAAAACTAGTAGTTTTGCAAATGACATGGAGATGAGGATTCTCTTGACGTCAGTTCACTGACCTTCAGTATCTATTCTTGGTGTTTCAGTGAACACAAAGCTAGGGTATCTCATAGGATATTGTGTTAGATTGATTAAAAGAAACCCAAGGAGAGAAGAATGAAGTCCTGAAAGTTAGAATGGAAATATATGCATGAACTCATCGGAGTGGGATCACTATTTCTTATGTTTTTGAAACTTGCTATAGTGTGTATGCATTCACCTGACAAGGGAGGGGGGTCGTTAGAAAGCATCCCCCAGAGGGGTGATGGCCCCATCACAATACCTTCTCCCTTCTTCTCAGGATTTGGGACATGCACACATACACACACACACACACACACACACACACACACACACACACCATGTTTTTCAATCCACAAGGTCCAGAACTTGAACCATGCAGTCAGCCACGTGGGATCTAGTTGCCTCAATCACTATACCACTGGCTGGCCTGATTCACCATTTATTAATGACTGATGGAGCCAAGTAGTTGGAGAGATGAAAAAGATATTGGATCTCTGACTTGGATTTTAGATACAAATGACAGTAAAAGTAAGGTGGGCTAATAGAATTTTCTACATGGAAACTAACCTTTATGCTATGTATGACAAGAGGCTGTGGAGGATCTCCCACAGATATATCTAAAAATATGCAAGATGGTAATGAACCCCAGGAAAGCATGTTATTTTGTAAGTTTTAAAATGTAACAACTTTTCTTTCCAGTTCTGGATGTTAAAATGCGTTTTCATACTTCATAGCTAAAAATGGAAAAAAGGCAAAAATACTGCCGCTTGAAATTATAGAATAAGTTTTCATATGCAAAATTCTAATACCATCTCTGTTCTTTCTGTAATGTGTTTTTGCTCCGATTGATGAAGTTTATTTGTGAATTGATGTTTCTTAATTCTGAGGAGTGAGACTCTTTGCCTTGTGATCGCTCGGGCTTTGGATCTGAGCTTTACTATACTAGATTTCCTCATGTATGTTGGCTTTTGGAAGGTCTTTTGTCCATGTTTTCTTCACACCTTCCTGTTGTGCAGTGGAGGAGACCTTGAGAGCTGGATGGAAATTCTTTCAGGGACAGTTTAATATTCACACTAGATCCAGTGTGATTTTAGGGGTAAAATTAATGTTTTTGTATTAGCCACAGATATATTGCTGAGTCATTTCAGAAGCACTTTACTCATTAGACACAAGGTCCAGAGGCATTTTCTTCTTTTTTTTTTTTTCAATTGCCAGAGGGCGCATGTACTCACCAGAGGGACAGGGAGGGAGAAAGCACTCCCTTGTTGGCTGTGGTCACATTGCAATCCTTTGTCCTCCCATTCCTCCAGCCTGTTGTGATTTGGGGCATGCACACACAGGGGCCTGGTATTTTTTAAGTCACAGGTGGGAAGGGGGTGGGGGAAAACAACCAGGAGATCCAGCCTCCCCCAACCACCAAGTCACAGGCCAGCCCCAGAAACTTCTCATGATGTCCAAGCCTCTCTGTGATCTGCTGCTTGTTTGCTCACTGATTCAGTCCTTCCTGAGCCTTGACTGAGTCCTGAGTATTACTCCAGACAGCAGAGACACGCAGTAGACTAAACACACTGTTGGCCAGAGCACATTCTGGTGGGGGTTGACAATGAACTTGTAAACAAATGAATGAGATCTACATTCTGCCTTCTCCCACTCTTCTCCTCCTCAAGGGCTACATTCGGGCACAAGGAAATCATGCTCTCTCTGACTTCCAGCCCTTTACAGAGGCTTTCCATTCTGCCTAGACCATTGCTATGCCCTTGGTTTGTCTATCCAACTCCTCCATCCTGCATGTGGCAGTTCAGAGCACATGCCCAAAGTTGAGCTAGATGCCTTCCCCGATGCAGATCAGGACTATCACATGGCTCGCGGTGATTGGTTCACTCATGTGCCCGGCATGTTAAGTGATTTCTGTCTCCCTGTAAACCGTACTGAGCGGGGGTAAACACTGTCCCCTCATGTACACTTCAGCAGACTCAATGGATTCCCTCATCCTTCTAGATCAGAGTATTTAAGTTTTCTACTCCATAGACATCTTTGAAGTCCAGAAGCCCCTCAGAATCATGCTTTTATGTGAATAAAATAAAACATGTAGCATTAAAAAAGAAGCCAATGATATTAAAAGACCAGTCCCAAGAATTTTATTTATACACACACACACACACACACACACACACACACACACACATATATATATATATATATTTATATATATAGAGATAATAGAATTAGTGATGCTTTATTGGCACATTAAGCTGCAAGAACTGGTGACGGGTCAAATAGCCACCATTATTTTGAAATAGCAATGAAGAGAAACAGTATCATATTTCAAGACATCCACAAGAATCTCACATAAATTATACATATATGTGATTTCTATCGGTGGCAGCCACAGAAACTGTAAATACTTTGAGAATTTGTTGCTAGCATTTTACATTAAAAACAAATGTTAGAATTTAGTGAAAATAAACATTTTTCTTCATCCAAGATAGAAATAAGGTTTTTAATGGATTTATTTATTTATTTATTTATTTATTTATTTTTGCCAGAGAGTGCATGCACTTGCCAGAGAGAGAGAGGAAGAAAGTACTCAGGGTCATACTGTAATCTCTTCTCCTCCATTCCTCTCTCTTTTCAGGATGTTGGGCACACAAGCATATGCTCCCAGCCTATCTCTAAAGCTGCTGGGTCCAGGATTCACCCACATGGTTGGCTATGTGAGATCCAGTCGCCTTAACCACTGGCCACAGCTAGCTGAAATGTGGATTTTTTTCTAAAGGCCTAATGCCCCATGGATTCAAGTTAGTTATGAATCCCTGCCCTGGGTAAGAAACACACATTGTACTTATGCAGACAGCAGCACATTCCAATGATAATTCCTATGAGGTAATCAAATCTCCACAGTCGACTTAGCTGTGTCCGTCTTCTCCCACCTTCAGTGTGGGTTTGTGACAGCCTGGAAGCTTGCTGTGGCAAAGGGAGCTTGGTTCCTGCTCCACCCTGCTCATCCTCCCCTACCCTACATCACTTGCTATGATACACTCTCCTTGAAGCTCCAGGTAA